GCATGCAAGGCAAGGACCTACGCTATCACACCGGCCCAGCTTATTTTTGTTTTTAAGTGTTAGCTTCCAATATGGTAAATATTAATAGCAACAACCCCCAAAAATCCTTGCAGATCACAATTTTTAAGAGGCTAAAATGTCTTGAAACCAAAAAGGGCTCTGAATCACCAAATACAAGGGTTCTTCCAAAAGTTAATGGAAAATGGAAATTAAAACGTTTAGCCTGATGCAAAAACCCATGTATAGCTTTTTTATGATACTAATTCCCCATATAAGACCCCTTCATTATGTAGTATTTATAATTGTGTAACTAAATCAGAATGTAATTCTGCCAATGGATGAAATGTGGGAAAAAGTAGAAAAAGTATGTATGTGAATGTGCTTGGGTTTGCTGGGGACGAGCCAGCGAGGGAGCCAGCACGTGTGACCTTGACGCAGTGACTTCTCTGTGCCTCCGCTGTTACTCAGGAAGTGGCAGCGATCACAATATTCACCGCACGGCATTCTGCAGATCACGTGAGCAGATACCTACAAAGTGTGTCGAGCAGCTGTGATGCTCAGACTAAGTTCTCTGTGGGTCAACTATCATTATACCGATAGATAATGAATGTACGCCATAAGGGACAGAACCGGGCCCCCTGCCGTGAAGTCCTACTGGTGCTGCTCCCGCTGTCCTCACAGTGGGTGACTAAAACGCAGTCACGGATTCCCAGCGGTGCATTATCACAGAACCAAGGAAGAGCCAGGATCGCCTGACGGGCCTCTTGCCCTAACATCTCACTTTCTAGTTCTGAATCACGTTGCTGCCCCTAGGAGGGACATGGGTGTGCGCCAAGGTTTCCGAACAAACCATGTGAGGTTGGCTTGGTTTCACATGTAAGGTCCAAAGCTCTTATGATTTTTCTTGTTTCTGCAGTTCATTTTCCTTTTGGCCCTGTCCGGCTGCCAGAGATCATTCAGAATTATATTGATTTCAGCATATACCTACACAGCCACATCCACCTGTCAGAAAACCTACACTTCAAAGTAAGGCCTTGCTAACTTTTTTTAAGGATAGGAGTAGCCTCCTTTCTTTTTCTTTTCTTTCTTTCTTTTTTTTTAAGGTTTATGTTATTTTTATTGGCAAGTCAAATATTCAGAGAGGAGAGACAGAAAGATCTTCCTTCCACTGATTCACTTCCCAAGTGGCCGCAACGGCCAGAGCTGAGCCAATCCAAAGCCAGGAGCCAGGAGACTCTTCTGGGTCTCCCACACAGGCACATAGTTCTAAGGCTTTGGGCCGTCCTTGACTGCTTTCCCAGGCCACAAACGGAGCTGGATGCGAAACAGGGCTGCTGGGATTAGAATTGGCACCCATATGGGATCCCGGGAGTGCAAGGATAGGACTTTAACCACTATGCGATTGTACCGGGCCCCCAGCCTTGCTAACTTTTACAGTAAGAAACATTCTTTATGAAGCCATAGGTATATGATTTGAGTTAACCAATTAAAAATAAAAATCATTTTGTGAAACGGCTAAAGAATAATCTGCTTCTGAAGGTAAGAATGTTACCCAAATTTTGAAATTACTTTCTAAGCAGGACAAAGAGTAAATAAACTGTCAATCTCATGTGTCTCCACACTGGATCTCTGCATCCCTGCATCAAGCCTGGGAACTTGTCTAATTATTTTTAAGGTCATTGAGAATGTTGGGTTTAGATTCTACATTGAGGGGCAGGTTATGTCACATCTGGAGATATTTGCATACTGAAATGCCTGGTTTCAGTCTCAGTTCCACTTCTAATCCGCCTTGGTGCTAAGGTCACCCTGGGAGGCGCATGCGTGCGCTGCAGTGTCTCCTGTGCTTGGATCCCTGCCCCTCACACTGGAGATATGGACTGAGTTCTAGTCTCCTGATTTCAGGCTAACCCAGTCCTTGCTGTTTGTGGGAATTTACGAAGTGAACTGGTATATGTAAATAAAATTTTACTATATAAATTGACTATATAAATAAAATTTTAAAAAACAAAAACAAAACCCCACTTTGTTGAATGCAAATGGCATCTTTCTGTCTGATTTATGCCTAGCTTCACTTTTTGACATGGACTTCCATCTGACTCTCTCCCTCCCATTTTTTTTTCTATTGAATAATATGTCAATCTCATATACAATATATTTTTCAGAGATAACTTTTTTATTGTTAGTCTGACTCATTAGGATGGCTGAGATCTTTGTCATTATTCTTCAGAGCTGTATTTTCTGTATTTTCCTCCCATCCAGCATTTACCTTAGACTGGAAATCAAACATATCCTTGGGACGTGTAGCATATGGTGAAATCAGGCTGGGAGCCCTTGTGAGAATTAGTGACAGCAATCATGCTGCAAAGAACTGCTACAACCAAGAATACTTAAGGTTTATTCTGCAAGCTGGTAATTGCATGAGGCAAAGTTTAAAACAAGTGCAGTCAGAAATGTGTTCCAATGATCTATTTTTTGCGTTTAGGTAAGGTTGTGAGCCTTTAGGGCATGAGTGTCTTTGACTAGCTGTCCTGCTCATGGAAGCACACACTTCTGTCCCACTAAGCCATACAGAGCATTGTGCTCCAATAGGGCTTAAAAGTGTAGTAAGAGATTAATTGGTAGATGTATCCACTTCTTCCAGAACTGTGTCCCAATGTAACTGAAGCTGAGGTCTTTGAAAACCAAGTATTAAAGAGTAGGAAGCTCCACTGCTTCAGTATGTTCTCCAGTACATGTTTTTTGCAAAGCTCAGACTTCCTCTTCAGCTACATGCTTTACTTGTAATGTCATAGTTGGCACAGAAAGTTTGCTCAAATCAGTGAATGGAGACACACTGGGCATAGCATCTGCCACTCAGATCTGTGCCAGGTCGATGAATGATGAGTGAGAGGGATCCCCTTCATGGCTTAACTGACACGCATAACCAGGCACCAGAATCATTACAAATGAAAGGGAAGGTTGTGAGTCACTGGAGGTAGAGACATCCTGTTAACCTTTTTCTTCTAGAGTCTACCAGAGGCATATTGCAGGCATGCAACCCTAACTCGGTAGTTGGAAAAATGCATGAGTAAACCAAGGACCAAATGCAATTAAGTAGTAGACAAGATCTTTTGCCAAAGATTTATTTTTATTTATTTGAAAGGCACGGTTACAGAAAGAGAGAAGGAGAGGCAGAAACAGAAGTCTTCTGTTTGCTGATCTACTCCCCAAACGGTCTCAAAGGCCATGGTTGGGCCAGGCCGAAGCCAGGATCTGGGAACTTCATCTGGGTCTCCCATGTGGGTGCAGGGGCCCAAGGACTTGGACCATCCTTTGTCACTTTCCTAGTCACGTAGGCAGAGTTGGAGCGACAGGTCTTGAAGCAATGTCTGCATGGGATACCAGTGTGGCAGGTGGTGATTTAACCCATTATACCACAAAGTCAGCCCTCTAAACAAGATTTTTAATAAAAAGTGTATAACACAGTGAAAATCCAAGCAGAAGTGATCACTAGTAACAGCTTCATATAGAAGAGTGGACAAAAGTTGCACATTGAAGAAAATGAAGACTTTGAATGCTACAACAAAGGATGAAAGGAAATTTCTAACTAAAAGAAGAATTTAGACTTGCATACCTATCAATTAGAAAAATGTTGAGTACCATTCTCCATGGCCTATTTGTTTATATTCATACATATACTCTACTATACTACCATTATGAACACAAGAAAAGTACAATTTTTAAAAAATTAAAGATGAAATTAGTTAATTTACTGTCATTTTTTTCATTTATTTTATTTAAAACAGAGAGAAAAACCTTTAGTGCCTAAATGGTCCAATGGCTGGGGCTGATCCAGCACAAAGTGGAGAAGCAAGAGTTTCATCCAGGTCTCCCGCATGGGTGCAGGGTCCCAAACACTTGGGTCATCTTCCACTGCTTTCTCCGGGCTGTTAGAGACAGGTGCCTACATGCTACGCCAGTGTTGCAGGCAACAGCTTAACACACTGTACCACAATGTCGGCCCCTAGGACAAACATTTTTAAAAAAATAAATTTTATCTGGGAGATATTCCAGCGGAAGCATGAAAGATGGGAAAATTCATGATGGACACACATTGTGATTCTAGAGAGGAGGGAGTTTGGGAAGGGGGAGCAGAGAGCCCACCGCCAATTAAATTGTATCAAAACACAATGAAAATTTTTAACTAAATAAATACATTTATTTGCTGATTTTTCATTTCTTAAGGTATGCAAATGTCCTCACTCGCATGTTCTGTCATGTCACAGTCTCTCCGTCACAATGATCTGCCCCACACATCCATCCTTCCCAACTATGTAACTTGCTAACCCCACCATCACCAGGAAGGAGTGTCAGTGGTTTCAGAGATCCTTAGCAATGGCTTGCCCAACCCAACTGGCAGAGATTGTGCCATATCCCAGTGGTGTGCAAGGTCTGTCTTCTCTCCACCGAATAGTCTTACTTGTTACGTTACACAGTTCCTAACACATTACACTTTTTGTGTGCTTGGTGAGTAAATACAATATATTATCTACATATCCAAGCTGTCACAATAGTAGAAATAAGTTCCTTCAAAGAAACTGAAGTTCAGGAACAATATAAATAAAGTAGGCATGTGTGAATGACAGAAAAAAATGGCTTAGCTGACACAGCTCCTATGCTTACTAAAACTCCCCATTGGCAACAGGATCTTATCCAACAAGGGTAGGCATTATTAAACATTTCAAAATTGTTAAAACGATTATCTAAAGTATAGATTTTCATACAAAAATAATGATATCAGCATATGGAAGATTTTCTCTCTCATTTGGACTTTCAAGATAAATAAAAAATCTTTGAACAAAATAAAGTTTGTCCTAAAGATGAGGGCTAAAGAAACCGTAAATGAAATACGTAGTTTCAGCTAGTACCCTAGGTCAATTCCCCACGGAGCTGTCATTTGTCGGCCATGGGACTCAGGATCTCTTATAGTATGGACTTTTTATGTTCTCTGTTCTTGGCAGGAAAGAGCCAGGAGCTGCCTGGCGTATCTGGTGAGCCAGCTGGCTAGCATGGAGCACTCGTTTCACCACATTCTTCTGCTGGAGATTAAGAGCATCACCGACGCCTTCTCTTCCATCTTGGGCCCACACAGCAGAGACATCTTCCGCATGAGCAACAGCTTCACGACCATTGCCAAGCTCCTTACCCGACAACTGGAGAGCTCCAAAGTTGGAAGTGGCAGGTGAGCAGGAATTCCTGTGTCCTCCAGGGAGCCCAGGGAGGCTGAGCACTGACAGCTGCGATCTCGTACATACTCCTGAAACTTTCCAAGAAAAGCCTAAGCCAGTGTCTCAATGGAGAGTTACTTCTGAGTCAATTATGTCATTTACCAGACTTTTATATGCAGCTGTGGAAGTCCGGGGGGTAACAAAAAGTCTAAAAGATGAACAAAATATGGTAAAGCAATAGGAATGCAGTATAAGGAAGCACTACAGCACTCATTTATTCAACAAGAACTGAACTGTTGTTTATCTCAGGAAACTAGACATACAGAAAGAGATAAAACATGTTACTTGTAGCCAAGTAGCTCATTGTAAAACGTAGATAGATATTTAAGTGTGCAATTAGAGAATGGTGGAAGGCTATGGTAGCCAAGATGGATTCGGCAAGTTTAGGTAACACTGAGGTGGGATTCTTTACTTCTGCCAAGAAGGAAATGGGTGGGAAGCTGAGATCAGGGAAGGTTTTCCAGGAGATAATTAGAACCAAGTCTTGAAAGATGACCCGATTACTACAGATTGTTTTCAGGGCAGCATGAGAAGGACCTTCCGAAACAAAAGTCACGTCATATGACTAGGGGGTGTGCTACACGGAAAGCAACATGGTGTTTCTAGTGTGCTGGGCCAGACATCCCCTTCTCAGCAGTTTAAAATTTATCCTGCAGGCAATGAAGAATCATCATAGGCCTTTGTCCATGACAAGGTGTAATTGTAACCCATGTCTGAGGAAGCTCCCTCTGGCCCTGGTGCAAAGGTGGCCCAAGGAAGAGGCAGTCTGGAGTTGAGTCAAAGGAAGGAAGGGCAGAGAGATTTCCATGGTTGTGAGCCATGGGGAAATCATGTGATGTGTGAACTTCCAGTGCTGCTGGACACAAGATAGGCTGGAGGAAGAGGATACAAAGCACAAAACTGGCCTGGTCAAGAAATTTGCCTTTGAAAATATAGAGATTGGGGAGGCCATTTGGTTGGCTTTTGCTATATATTAAATAGAGAGGGGTGGAAAAGCTTGTGAGCTTTAGCAGCTGCACCACGTGTTCGCATATGTCATCTGATCCTATGCTGCTAAGCACTGTGCTTGACAATGAGGGGAGACATCATCATTCCTGCTTCATAGGAGAACCGGAGGTTTAGGCACTGGTTCGATGTATTCCTGATGTCACAGAGATTGCATGTTTGAAGACGGACTCAAACCCCATCTTTATCTTCACTGTAGCTTGAAAGATGTTCAGTTCCAGATAAGGGCAGGGACCATTTGAGCCTTCCGCAATCTCTTCAGTTTTAGAATGACAAATGATGCATACCAATTCCAGAATGAAACAAAGTCTTCAAAGTATGATAAGTCATTCTTGACCAGGCGATGAGCAGTGAGTCACAGGTCTTTACTTTATGTCCAGCATCATGCCCAGCCTGGACTCTCTCTAGGCACTAGGTTAAGTTGTGTAGGATGGTAACAGATATATGATGTAGAGAATACAGCACCAACAAAGATGCAAGTGTGACCCAGTCTGGGGAAAGATAACTTGTTCAGTGTGGTGGCGTGAGGACATCAGCAGTGAGTAGGAGAGGGATTTAAGTTAGTTCAGAGACAGATTACCCAAGGTCTTGTGAGCTGGTCTGAGAGTAAGGAACCTGTTTTGTAAGAATCATGGGAGCCTGGGTACTGAAAGGGCCTGGCGTAGCAATCAGCGAATAGTAAGCCTTCAATAAAGATTTTTTTTTTTAACCAAATAAGTGAAGGAGAATGACTGCTCTCATGGATAATTGAATGGATTTGGCTAGAACAGCAAGCTGACAAGAGAGTGAGTATCCAGGATACTGTCGGCCTCGCCTTAATAAGCTGTGAGGGTGATGGGAAGCCTGCAAATCAAGGCAGATCATCACAGTGAGGATTGCAGAGCTGCGAGGACTTGATCACAGATGGAAGCGGGGCGAGGAAAGAGGAGCACAGTGCAGAGAACCCATAGATGCCCAGCCTGAGTGATTCCAGAGACGCAGATAATGCTGGTGGTAACTATGAGGGGAGGTAGCTGGAGCAAAGTCTTAAAGAATTTCCACCACACATGAAAGCTAATACCTGACTATCATGGGTCATCAAAGTTCAGAGTTCCTACTCATCAAAGCAAGATCGACTGTAAATGTCCTTGTATGTCAACACCATAGTTTTGATTTGGCATGTCAACTATCGTGTTAATATGCAGGTGTCTATTTTGACCTTGGTACTATTGATACTAGAGCTATGTAATTCTGAATTGTGGGTCCTCCATGTGCATTACAGAATATTTCCTAGTACCCTTGGCTTCAAACAACTAGATACCAGTGGACATGATTCCTCTAAGTTACGACAATCAAAAAGATCTCAAGTATTGCTAACTGTCCCCTAAGAAACGAACATCTCCCCCAAATTAAAGACACCATTTTTAAACTCCTGTTTTGACTAGCAACACATGAAACTCAAGACCAGCATCATGAAGGGGTGACCTGTCCTATACACACAGCCACAAAGTCATTGTTAGACGATTTTCATTATGTGATTTCAGATGTTGCATCTGGGTTTGGGGTCACCCTTCCAGACGGTGCCCACCCAACCTGCCTCTCTTCCTCCACTTTTGCTTGGTGTGTGGATCAGATATAAAAGCACTAGCACCTGTCCTGGTCAGCACACCCTCCATTCTCTAATGCTATCACCCCAAAAAACAAGGTTTCAAGAGGCCAATGGACATCTTGGGATCATATATGTGAAAACAGTTTACATAAAAGAAAAAAGTGGTTAAATTAGAGTGTTAAACAGGATTCTAATGGATGAGCTAATAGAGCATTATACTAGGAAAATTAGATCAACGCCATTAGCAGCAAATCATTTTCTAATGAAAATAAGAATGTAGGAGATATATAGACACAAAGAAAAATGAGGTCTTACCATTAAAACATGAATTTACATGTATGAGGTTATTTCAACAATTTGTGGAAATGAAATTAGATAGGCTTATTTTGCTGCAAAAATGTTCTGAAGTCCACGAGTACAGAAAGCCTTCCAAAAGTGCGGGGGGTAGTTATGGAAAACTATGCATGGATTTCAACTTATTTGCACTGAGATAAATTTTCTTTTTAACTTTAATGTCTACGAACCTTTTTAAATATCCAAGAATGGAAAAGCACTTAAATTCTCCTTGTCTATTTTCCAAGGAGAAGGAACAAAGCAAAAAGGAGCGAGATCAAATGTGAGCAGGTGAAAAGGTTGCCACTCACCTCAAGCACAACCATGCCATCACCATCACCATCACCACCATCTCAGCCTCTCTTGGTTCAAAATAATTCTGCCCGCTCAGCTGTCTTGCCAGTCTTCTTCCAAAGGGTTGTAATTATTCAGTGGGAACCTCACCATGTGGGTGAGGACAACTCTCCCTTTGTGTTAACTGCACATCCTTCCCAGGAGGGTTGCTAAGGTTCCTCTCCCAACAGCTCGGCACTGAATAGCCTGCATGGTGACCATTTAGCTCCGGTCATTTTCATCGGTGCCCTCAAGCAGAAATGGCACATGTTTGCCTAAAGCATACGGCAAAGTTTGTTCTGTACAATTAAAGGGGAAATGAATATGTGAAGGGAGCTTGAAAAAAAAAAAAAGAGATAAAATCCAAAACAGATGTCATCTAATTTACAAATCTGACACATAGCCCAGCAGGCCAGATTGTAGACTTCAGACCAAAACGACAAGACTATCAGAAGAAAAACAATTCACATCTGAAAGGGAATGAAAAATTGAAACAGACAGGAGCTTGCTTTATTCCAAGTGGTTCTAAGTTTTGATGTTCTGTAACATAGAGCAGTTGAGCTCCTGTGCTTTCTCCCTCTCCTTCTACTTTGAAAGAATGTTTAAATCCAAGTAATGGACCAACGGAGGCGAAAAGCAGAGGGAAGCCAAGCAAGGCATTCAGATTTTGAAATTAATTCTGGAAAAATAAATGGGGTACAATATCAAGTATGGGTTGACAAGGAGAAGGTGTCAGCACAGGAAAAGATGCGTAGACCTTTTGGAACTGTGAGCCCAACCTGGTAGTCTTCTGGGTAACCCCTAACCATCGGGCTGTCTGCCTGCTAGCACCCAGAAAGATCTGGGGAAGAAGAGAGTAAAGTTCTAGCAGCTGTGTGGTTGGCCACACTGTGATAATCCAGCTAGATGATGCCTTTGCCAAATGAATGAGACCCCAGGCCCCCAGAGGCTGATCTAATCAGGCCCCATCAGAATGCAAAGCAGTTTGTCACAGGTGGTCTTTGTAGGAGGCCAGAATCGGGCCCCAGCCGAGAATGGAAACTTTGATTATGGAAATTATGAAGAGAAAGCAAGGATGGTAGAAAAGTAGGACAAAAAGGGAAAGGCAGGGAGGGACAGTAGTGATGGCAGTAAGCGGAGCAAGAAACCAGAAGAAGCAGAAGACAGGGTCCCTAGACACAGTGCCTGGCCCTTTCCTACAGAGCAGGGAGGTGAAGATTCCTTCAAATCAGTCTTTCAAATCCTAGCCAAACAATCAAAATCATGAAGTTTAAAACAACCATGTGGTTAAGGTTTCCCTGAATTTTTGTCTACTCTTGGTAATTAATTTGGTGCTTAGTGTCATTTTGGTGGCAAGATTTTGTTTTTGTTCTTTAAGAACTAGGTCTGTAAGTAAAAAAGGAGACTGAAAGGTAAGCTGTAGTAAAACCCTACTGAGGAAAAACAAAGTATAGGAAGAATGAAGGAGAAATGGGATAAGATTACGTTCACAAAAGGATGACCATAGCAAATCTATCTTTCTTGGAGTGGTCACAGATATTTGGTCTATCCCGTTCTGTGCAGTAAACATCAAGAGCATGGGTTGGGGTAGAGAGCTAGAAATTTGACTGAATGTGACCTTACTGTGTGGTTAAACCATATGGCCTATAAAGATCCTTCCTAGACCCTGGGCCCCTTTGCAGCCTGCCATCGAAC